CTTTTTTTTTTTTTTTTTTTTTTTTGGTCACAGCCAGTAGGATGTGATCATGAACTTGGCTCTAAAGCTGTTTCAGATGCATGTGGTGTTTGCAAAGGTGATAATTCGACTTGCAAGTTTTATAAAGGCCTATACCTCAACCAGAACAAAGCAAATGGTAAGAGATGCTGCTGTTCCATTATTCTCATTAGGGAAACACAACTTTTGCTTCGGAACAACTTTGAGTCACCTTCCATGTGGTTGAACCTTTTAGTAGTTCCCCTAACACTCTGGTGATGATGGCTCTCAGCAACTTGTACAAGAGATGCAAGGAGTTTTATCAACGTGTTACATCTCAGAAATGTGTTGAATAAATGCCTTCCTACTTTGCAGTTTTAACTTGCCAACCAGTCCCCATGTATGCCTCACAGGCATTTATGAAGCAAAGAAACTTACTGTGAAACGTAAATGATCCGTCTACACAGCATCAAGTGAATACTTGAGGCCGTTATCTAAATGCATTTGAGTAAAATTCAACTTTTGAGCCCTGGTTTCTGAATATCACTGTTGAGCATAAATGGCTCTAGAGTTCTTCTAGGAAGACACACACACACACACACACACACACACAAAAGTGTCCTTGTATTTTGTGGCCTTTATTGGTCTAAGAAGAATAGCAAGTCTCCTTTCCACACAAACATGCTTGGTGAGATTTCAGGAAAGCCACATACATTTTTTGTGTCTGGTGTTCTTATCACTTGGAAAATGAAATAATTGATTATTTAATAGAGTAAGAATGAATATCAGTTAATAATTCAAAAGCCTTACTGTATTAAAATGGACAGTACACATTTCTGGGCATTTCTAGTCCCCCTTTCTCTAATGCAGTGTGGGATATGTAAGTGTTCTCTTCTTTCCATTTAGAATATTATCCAGTGGTCATCGTTCCTGCCGGGGCCTGGAGCATTGAGATCCAAGAGCTGCAGGTCTCTTCCAGTTACCTCGCAGTCCGAAGCCTCAGTCAGAAGTATTACCTCACCGGGGGCTGGAGCATCGACTGGCCTGGGGAGTTCCCCTTTGCTGGGACCACGTTTGAATACCAACGCTCCCTCAACCGCCCAGAACGTCTGTATGCACCAGGACCTACAAATGAGACGCTGGTCTTTGAAGTAAGCCAATTCTGTTTACTCAGTTCTGTTAAGCTCCTCGCTGTATAATGTAGCAATGCTTCTTGCTCTGTTTACAAAGAGGATTTCAATTTGAGCTAGCTTAAAGAAGTCCAATCCTTCTAGTTCAAATGCGTTCCCTAATAGGCTAATTAAGAAAACATTCAGATTAATAAGAGGGTAGGTATGATTAGGTTGTATTATTTTACATTGGTAAAGTCAAGTCTGAGTTGTAGTTGTGACCTTCACCCAGGAAGCGTGCTATTTGCCTATACATTGTACCCATAAGGTGGGAACTTAACATGCTCCCTGTACCCCCTTTTTGAATTTCATTGAGTTTTTGTCTCATACGTGCACACTGTTGTTAATCTATGTTTCAACTTAGTATTGAGTACATGGGATGTTTGATTTTCCATTCTTGGGATACTTAATAGAGTGTTCTCCAGATCCATCCAAGTTATAACAAAAGATACAAAATCTCCACCTTTTTATGGCTAAATAGTAATCTATGGTATATGCATACCACAGTTTATTAATCCAGTCATGGGTTGATTACGCACTTGGTTTGATTCCACATCTTTGAGATGTAAGTTGTGCTGCTATGAACATTCAAGTGCACATGTCCTTAATGATAAAATGACGTTTTCTATTGGATAGTTACCTAGTAATGGGATTGTTGGATCAAATGGAACAAAAAGGTCTATTTTTAGTTCTTCAAGGACTCTCCATACTTCTTGCCATGAAGGCTGTACTACTTTGAAGTCCCACAACAGTGCCAGACTATTCCCTTCTCTTTGCACCCACACCAGCATCTGTTGCTTTGGGACCTTGTGATGTGGGCCATTCTCATTGGGGTTAGGTAATATCTCAAAGTGGTTTTGCATTTCTCTAATAATTAGAGGTGATGAGCATTTTTTCATGAGTTTATTAGCCATTTGTCTTCGTAAGATAAGATTCTGTTCATGTCTCTCACCCAGATTTTAATGGAGGTGTTTGCTTTTTTGTTGTTGTTGTTGATTTGCTTGAGTTCTTTATAGATTCTAGTTATGAGCCACTTTTTTACATTAAGGACTTATCTTGTATGGATAAGGTTTTTCTCAATGTGAAACTGCTCTGGTTGCCTCTGTAAGAAGTATACAAGCTTACAAGAGAGTATGGAGAGTAGATCGTGTGCCATTTGGAAACATCTGCCATCCAGATTTGACTTCATAAAGCAGTGAGAGCACATCCATGTATCTTGCCCAGTGCAGACAAAGCTTGTCTGCTGATGTTTACTTCTTCGTTTTCCTCATTCTGTCTTATGTGTATTATTACTTAATTCACTGTTCTTAGTGCTGAAGAAAGAGACTAGTTAATTCATTATTTTTATTGCTTGATCTTACAGAGCTTAGATCCTGCTATGTCCTCAATCATCACTGGATCAGAGACGTAATTAATAAAGCAGTTTTCAGAGGTAGCTACTTTTTCTGACTAAACTGAAGCATTCAATTTATTATCTTCTTCTGTCCTGTGTACAGTGGGGCTGGATAATTCTTTGAACGAAATACCACACTACTATCATATTGGCAGTGACCTCTTAGAGCTCACAACTGTTCATGGCGAAAGCAGTAGAAATAAATTTCTCTTATCTTATGGTGGGAGTTTGGACTCCTCATGTGTGTTGAGTTACTTGGGGAAAATTTAGGTGACATCTTGAAGTTTCCCTAATGGATTCTTAGATTTGTTAGAACTTTAGAAAGAAAAAGAAAATCAAGGTGTCATTGTGTGCAGTGGTCATAGAGTTCCTCTGTGTCACACATGCTCAGTCACGTTCTTTTGTGACCCATGTCGATGGTAAACTGGTTGTGGACAAAACAGGAAAAAATCCCCCTGCTATATGGAACTGAATGTTGGAGGGCACATTATGGCATTAAACAAATAAATATGTAAATAGACACAGAGTTTTAGATTGCTCTGAGTTCTTCAGAATAAAATAAGTGTAAGGGGGGAAAAACAGAGAAAGGATGCTTTTTGGATTAGACGGTTGATGAGGAATTCAAAGGATGAGAAGCAGCAGCCAGGTGAAGAGCAGAGGAAATTCAGGTAGTGGAAACAGCAATTTAAAACCCCATGTGGAGGATAAGCTTCCTGTTTTAGAAGAACTTAAAAAAAAAGTGGAGTCTAATTGTACTGCAGTGAGAAGAGGGTTTTGGAGGCCTGCAGATAACACCATGAACCGTGGCAAGGAGTCTGGATTTCGTGCTAAGAACAATGTTGAGGTTTTAAGAAAAGGATTGTTTTAAAAATTTGATCTGATGGCCATACAGATAAGTGAGGGGTGAGTGGTGAAGTGGAGACAAGAGAAAATGATTATTCTAGATTTCCAGGCAAGGAGCAATGGAAGCTGAAACAGACGGTGCCTGTGAAGGTGGATGGAAGTGGATCTGTGCATCATCTATCACGTATTGAGAATAGGAAGGTAGAAAATTTGCAAGAGATGGATGAGATACAGAGCCTGAGGGAGAAAGATGCATGGGAAAGCATCTTAGGATTCTTCCTTGAGCATTTGGTGGGCAGTCTTACTATTACGGGTATAATTATCTTGGAGATGACGAGAAACAGGTTTAGGGTTGGGGAAAAATTCCATTTTAGCACCCGATATTTGAGATGTATCTTAGATATTCCAGAGTAGCTATCAAGTAGGTAGTTGAGTATGTGTTTTAAATTCATTCAAAAAGTCTTGGAATGAATATACAAATCAGTTCCTAAAAACACATAATGTAGTACAGGAGTATATTGTTTGTTAACTGAGCAGAATACTCAGGTTCAATTTTTTTGATTTGCTGTCTCTTGGGAGTAGCCAAATAATTACTGTATCAAAAGTATGCCTTGTGTAGAAACTGCTGTGTCCTGGTTGATACCACTTATAAAGAGGAGCACATCCCTGGTGTGGAAAGGCATCCCTATGCTTGGATTGGCCGCTCGCAGGTGTCCTGGGATTTCTGTATGTAGATACACATCTTTCATCACCCCAGCATTTTGTCGTATGTCTTTGCCCTGCACACCCACAGATGTGAGAGTGGATATGCCCGTGTTCATGGCAGCAGGATTGTTATCCTATCTGTTCTTCCTTCTGTTGCTCTGACTGTGTGTGTTTCTTTCCTGATTTTAAGGTATTTAAAGATCCATATCGGAGTCCCATGCTCAAGGGCTATGCAAATACAGTGTAGAGTATGCTTGGCAACTCTTCCCCTGATGAAATGTAAGACCCTTGGTGGGAGAAACCTGCTAAATGTCAGTTTCACGATCTCAAGACCAGGTAGTCTATTCTTCAGATTTCCAAAGCATGGAATTTCCTTCTCTGTCAAAGGACTGTCTGTAGATGACAAAGAAATGCCTCTTTTTTGGAGGGTCCATAGGGGTGCAAAAAATGAAGGCTCACTCTCCACAGAGTAGGTAGGGGAGGTGTGGTAACCTTAAGCATTCCCTAAAGAAGATAAGGAGACAAAAGCCTACCCATGGGTAACTTTAGATTCTGTCTTAAGATGTTCTACACATAAAATAGTCAAGAGAACAGACTCTTAACTAAACATGGAACTTGGGCGAAGTTTCTTCATCTTTGTGTCATTCAATAGCTGTATTTATAAAACAGGCAAACAATACTAGCTGACTACTGTAGCTGTTAGAAACATAATCGAAGGTATGTTCAGAGCATACAAAATACTTAGCACATAATGTTTGTAGCCATCATTATTTTACTTTCTGAGCATATCTAACTCTTACTCTTCACATGTATAATATATAGAGATATGTATATTTTATAATATAGGTATGATATATACTATATGACATACATGA